TTGTTTGGGACTTAAAGACTTTGTTGTTGTTGTTGTATTATTATCTTGTGATGCAGGATTTAGTACCAGCCCTACACCGTTCTAACCTGCATCATGACAGCTCATACACAAAATTAACGCAGAGGCAACAGACTATCCAAAGAAGCAAGATAGAAACTGGAAAATTGCATCCTTGTTAATCCTTGCATCACTGCAAAGCTAGCTATATGGATTGTTTGGCTGCACAACCATTAGCATTTCGATCCCCTTGCTGCTGACAAGAGGATGCCTACCAACTCCTAGTCCTAGGAATTGCTGAAATCTGCTATTTAAAAGAATTTGATGCCATTGTATTGCAAAGACTGGATATCAGAAATCTTTGGTCAGTAATTTAATTCATTTGTACAACTTCTAGTAAGGTTTCCATGATCAAATTATTTGGTGTTGTTTGTATTCATGTCCATGTGGTACACTATATGCATGCAGTTTTTTCTTAATATAAAACACTGATGAGCATATATTATTATGAGTTTTACTTTGGTTGCTCTTACTATCGATTGTATTAAGCAGAAGTGGATGAGAAGGGGAGGGGGAGGGGGGCGGGGCTAAGTTATTAGAAGATAACCTACTGAATGGGGGTCTATATTTTGCACAGGTTGAGGTGTAACTGTAGTGCTGTGGTCTCTTGCTTTAATGGTCTGAGAAAACTGTATTGGAAGAAGGGGAATCATGTATGTCATCTCAGTTTTTTACTGGAGCCATGTTAATGAAGCAGAATAGGGCTGGTACTAATAAATAGGTTAACAGGGACACATACACTACTAACCTGACAGCACGAGAAGGTTTTACCATAGGGAGCGACAGCGGATGCAGATGTAAAAGTGTCCAATCTGCAGGTTCATGAGACTCCAGTATCCTCTCTCTAATGGTACAAGCCTGCAGGGAACAAATCATTGCTATGCTATAATCCAAAAATGTGTCTTATTGAATGGTAGTACCATACAGAACCTAGTATCCATAACACTGAATATCAGGCCTCGTTTAGATTGCAAATTTTTACAACCTGGACATTGTAGCACGTTTCGTTTGTATTTGACAAACTTTGTCCGATCATGGACTAACTAGGCTCAAAAGATCCGTCTCGTGATTTACAACCAAACTGTGTAATTAGTTATTTTTTTACCTACATTTAATGTTCCAAAAATTAATGTGATAGAGAGAGTGAAAAAACTTAGAATTTGAAGGTGATCTAAACAAGGCCTCAATATCATTGCTTATATATGGATATCATCATATATATATATATATAAAGAAAAGGGATGCGGCAAGGGATATCTGAAGAACTGGCAGTATTGGCATCTGAAGACCTTTTTATTCTTTGAGATAGTGGGCATCTTAAGAATTGATAAGGCAAAATTATAACAGACGAAGGCTGTTTGAAGTTGCATGGAAGCCAAAATAGTTTTTCAAAAGTAGCCACTGCAGCAACATCTCAATCATTTGAAGCTCTGCTACTTGGAATTCGCATAAAACTGTACAGGTAGGAACATTAACCCAAAGTACGTATTACTCCATGCTAATGCTAAGACCCCGTTTAGCAGGGCTTCTCCACCGGCTTCAAAAGCTGTTTGGAGTCGTTTTCTACCAAACGGGATAAAGTAAAATAGCTTCACTTGTGAAGCCTCTAAAAACATGCTCTCACAGTGATTTAGGGTAGGATGGAGCCAAAAAAAAGTGGCTTCTCCCGGCTCCTTCTCCAGGCCTCTAAAAACATGCTCTCACAGGAAAGCCATTTTGCCAAACGGTTTACCAAAACTGCTTCAGCTCCACCAGTAAAACTGTTCATGGAGCTGAAGTCAAAAAAAAATAGCTTCACTAGTGGAGTGAAGCCCTGCCAAACGGGAACTAAGTATTTTTTTTATTAATAAGCTCACGGCGTGGGATGGTGGGGCCTACATGTCGGCGTAAGGAATCGAAGGGTGAAGCCGGTTCACCACGGATGGTGAACGGGTCCAGTTTACTCTTTTTGGGAGTAGAGAAATATTATAAGCCTATATATGCGCTACTAATCGATATTTGTGATTTACTGATTATGCTATTTTTCTAATGTCAGATGTGATGCAATTGGGACCTGCTGATTTAAGATTGTAAATTTCATGTTTTTTGTTCTAAAACACTGCTGAGAGTTGTTTATATTACTTAAACTTGCAGCTATATTTATGTCTCTTATGTTTTTTATGGTTTTACTGATTTTAGATAGTTTAGGAGTACCTGAACTTGAACCGAAATAGTAGGTACTATTCTCTCAAAACAAATTTTAGGTATCAGTTTAAAACCAAATTTCTTAAAACCTGAATTACCCAGTCCAATTTTTTTTCCTATACCAGATGTCGACCTCTAGAACCACCGCCTGGTTTGTTTTATTGGTATGTTGTATCGTCAAATCTGGATTTTTTTCCTGTTTGTTTGGCTCTTCCCCTTAGTTGTTTCAAAAGAGAGAGAAGAGAATGACGATGGAACAACAAACAAACGAGAACATAAGGGCGTGTTTAGTTGGGCAAACTTTGGAGGTGCAAACTTTGCACGGTAAAAGATTCCCCACTGTAGCATTTTATTTGTATTTGTGAATTATTGTCCAAACATTGACTAATTAGGCTCAAAAGATTCGTCTCGCAAAGTTAAAGTAAACTGTGTAATTAGTTTTTGATTTCGTCTACATTTAATACTCAATGCATGTACCACAAGTTTAATATAATGGGAAATCTTCTTTTTTGCATAGTGCACTTTTGAAGAACTAAACAAGGGCTAAATAGCAAAAGGAAAGATGCACAATACGACGACTTCCTCGAAGTCATACTGCTTGTTTAGGAGCACTTCAATCACAAAAGCGTATAGGCCTGTTTGGTCCACCCAACTAACTATTAGTTGTATTAGCCAGAGAGTACTAGCTAATAGCTAATTGTTAACTTGATGATAGATAAGACATTAGTTGACTTATTAGCTAGATTCAAGCAGGAGGGGCAAGTCTGTCGAGCTTGGCAGCACCGAATGCAAGGTAGCGCAAAGCTCATAGGCTCCGTGCTGGCAGAATTTTGGTTAAAACTGGCTAAAAAATACTTTTCTCACTGAATTGTTGCGAGAGAAAAACATTGTTCTGGCTAAAAAAAAGAAGCCGAATAAGCTGAATATGGGGTAAGCCGAACGGGGCCGACCACAACTGCCCGTTGATTTAGAAATCATGTAATCAGCATTCAATTTAACGTCGGGCCGGCCAAGGCCAGCCGTAACATATCAGCTTGTTCGCTTGTTGGTTTTAGCCAGCCCAAACCAGCCAGTCAATAGTGTTTTCCTTTAAAAAAAACCAGCACCAGCACCGACCAACGAACAGGCCTATAAACCTCCTTTTTTAATGCAAATAATACACAATGCTTTTGCATATTAAGAGAGTAAAAAAAAGACATTAACTGACTTATTAGCTAGGATTAAATGCAGCTTAGCTCCAAAGGCCTATGGTACTCCAATCGGTTTGTCCTGATCAAAGTGCTGCCATTGATCGTGTACCCCGTAAACTGTAACGCAGGAAAAAAGGCGAATACATGAGCTGACCAATGTTATGACTTTGCCAACTGGCAATCATGCCGTAGGAACGTGTCGTCTACGAACACAATGGAACGGTCAACGTCCCCACTTCTCCACGTACACAAACGGACATACCTCGACGATTTGGCTCAGAGCCAACAGTGTTTTCATCTCCTCCTTGTTTAGTTCATCTAAACTCCTGAAAAGTGCACTGTACAAAAAGAAGATTCCCCGTCACATCAAATTTGTGGTACATGTATGAAGTACTAAATGTAGACGAAATAAAAAAACTAATTGCATAGTTTACTTTAACTTTGGGAGACGAATCTTTTAAGCCTAATTAGTTAATGTTTGAATAATAATTCATAAATACAAACAAAATACTACAGTAAAAAATCTTCACAATATAAAATTTATCTACACTAAACACCGCCTCCCAATAAATCAATATCAGTCGGACGATACATCGACCAACCGGCCTTTGGCTGCACGACTACTCGTGCGGTCAGAGCAGGATTTGCGACGGTGACCAGATCATCGCCTTCCCGCCAAAAACACGTCCCCGTCTGAGCCGTCTGCTTTCTCCACGCCCAATGATCAGGTAGCAGGATTTGCGTTCAGCTGGCTGGCTGGGCTGAGCCCGGCTGGCCAGCTCATTCACAAAAAATACTATTTATGTCTAAATAGAATAATAGTTTTTTTTATAATAATCAGTTAAAACAGTAATTTTCAATTCCGGCGAACAGGCCTTATCGACGCTGAGGGCCTTTATCTACAGGCCTCAGGCCTACACAGCTCACGTCGCTTCTCACTCACCATCTCGCGATGACAGGTTTACCCCACACGGGCCGGGCCCTGGTTGCCACTGTGAGGGCTCAGAGGCTGACGAGTGGAGTGGCTGCTGGTTTCTTCAGACAAAGCACGCGCTAACGCTAATCGTACCCGGCTCTAGCTTTTGGAAGTACCTCGCCTCGGGAAGCGCGACGAGGAAGTGGATTAGACAGGCCTTGTTTAGTTTCCTTTAAAATTCTAAATTTTTTCACTCTCTCTATCACATCAATTTTTAGCCGCTTGCATGGAGTATTAAATATAGGTAAAAAAAAACTAATTACACAGTTTAGTTGGAAATCACGAGATGAATCTTTTAAACCTAGTTGGTCTACGATTGGACAATATTTACCAAATAAGACGAAAATGTTACTATTCATCAGGTTGAAAAAACTTTCAAACTAAACAAGGCCCAAGAGGGGGGCATCAGCTCCTAAGCAGGTGTAGGCAGCCTTTTGTCTTCTGATGCGACCTCAAACGGTCCTCCTCGCCATCGCCGCGCCACTTGTTGTTGGTTGCACTTGCACCTGCTGCAGCTGCAGCTGCACACGCTCTCCCTCAGCTCTGCACCGCGACCGCCACGCCACGGGCTGTGAGGCCGGCGCCAGCCAGCCATGTTCACGGACGGCATGTCGAGGCTGGCGGTGGCGGTGAGCGTCACGGTGGCGCTGAGCCTGGCCATCTTCGTCACCATCCTGGTGCTCCTCCTCGCGGACCTCATCTGCGCGCACCTCCGGCGCCGGCGGCTCCGCGCCGAGGCGTCCCGGTCGAAGCTCGGCCTGGCGCTGGCGACGACGTCCCCGGAGCACGGCGCCGACGACGCCGCGTCGTCGGTGGCGACCACGGCCACGACGGCGGCGCGCGAGGCGCTCGCCGGCACGCCGCCCTTCTACTACGCGCACGGCGTCCTGCACGCGCCCAGCAGCACCAAGGACCTCCTCCTCGCCATCCCCAGGCTGGAGGGCGCCGTGTGGCGGTGGTCGCCCGCGCGCCGCTCGTCGCCGTCGTCGGGCTCGTCGGGGTCGGGCTCCTCGGCGCGCGGCGACGGGTTCATGTGCATCTCGAACCCGGTGTACGACCGGGGCCAGGTGGCCGCGGCCGCGGCCGCCGCCGCCGCCGTCGGGGACACGCCGCCGTTCGATACTCCCGGCGCGTCGCCGTCGCCGTCGCCGTTCGGGATCACGGAGGAGGCGGACGCGTACGACGAGGAGGACGGCGGCGGGTTCTCGCCGCCGCTGTCGGCGATGAGGAAACTTCCGCCGTTGGGCGTCCTGGCCGCGTACCCCCCGCCGGCGCTGAGCTTCGCCGATGCCAGGCCGTCGCTGGCGACGACGGTGACCGACACGAACCGGGCCTCCTCGACGTCGTCCGCCTACTTCTTCTCTTCATGGTCGTCGAAGTAAGAGATCACTGGTAACCTGCGCCGAATGTAGTGAGATGGACGTGTTTTGCAGCTCGATTTCATTCATTATTTTGGCCTTGTTTAGATTGTTTAGATGAGTGTTAGGATGAGTGTTAGAATCAGAATTTTTTGGCCAATTTCCTTGTTCAGTCATTCGTCGTTTTATAATCATCGGCTTTTTTATCCCTATGCTATTTGTTCTTGCATCATATCGTTATCATCGGCTCGGCCCTGCTAGTTCTTGCACATTCCATCTCCACTAGCTTATGATGCCGTTTTGGCGTGCGAAAACCGAAGCTTTTAATCAGTGTTTTATCCATATATAACTCGCTAACTTTGTTTCCACTATAGGAGTAAGTTCTAATGTTCACGAATATCTGAACAGAGGATTGATCTCATTGCGAAGAAAGGAAACAGTTTTCAGTTCGTGAGTTGTGTTGGTCGTTTCAGCAACCTGGACACCGGTACAGAAGGGCCCCGTCGTGCTGTGTTCAGGCAGAGAGGCTGACATCGGCTCAGTGGGTCCTGACATCAGACCCAAGAACACTATTCCATTGGCTCAGTGGGCCTGTTTAGATTTAAAAAATTCCGCGTAATACCGTCACATCGAATCTTGCGGCATATGCATGGAGTACTAAATGTAGACGAAAAAAAACTAATTGTACAGTTGGTTGAGAAATCACGAGACGAAACTTTCAAACCTAATTAGTCCATAATTAAACACTAATTACTAAATACAAACAAAAGTACTACAGTACTCAAAACTCAAAAAATTTTGGATCTAATCACAGCCTAACTTTTTGTTGCACAAAAGGCCCCATTGCAGTCTTGCGGAATGAAATGCTTTTTTCATCGACGAACAGTATTTTTCTTTTTCAATCTACGAACAGTATTTACTTTTAGTCATAGATTATCAGCCAAATAAACCGGACACGTGTAAATCTGAACATCTCTCATGGATGATGGACAAAGACACAGAGTGTTCACATAACAGAAGCACACCGCCAACTCTTGGTGCCATCGGAACATGCAAAAGCTGTAGCTCGGCACGCCCCTTGCATGTGTTCGGCAACTTGCCGTTTGGTGATGCACATCTCGGGGGACACAAAAAAGAAAAGGGCGAGGCTTGCGTACGTATCTAGGCCATGGCCGCACACCGTTGCAATCGAGAAAAGCCTGGCCGAAACGTGCATGCATGCTTGGCCGCCTTTGGGCAGTTCGGCTTCCGCACTTCGCAGCAGCAAAGCCTGAGGGCGTCACGAGCCCTGGGCTTGACCCTGAACCAACCAAGACGAAAAGGTAACCAGCGGTCCGGCCTCCGGCGCCCCAGGCCCCCAACCGCAGACGCCCAGTGGCCAGTGGTTTGTCTTTGCTTTCCCGGGCTTTTCGGCAGCGCCGCTCCAGTTCGTGCACCCTGTTGCAGCGTGCAAGCATGCTTCGGGGTTTGGTTGCTTGGCATCTCCCGAGTGAACGGGCCGTGCTCTGTTGCTTGCTAACATTGTCGGCGTCAATCACTGGCTCTCCCTCCAAAAGTTTATACCAATGGAATAGTAGTGGGTGAGGACAAAGATCCCGTGGTCCTCGCTATCTGATCAGGCGAAGACTGGATTAAGATTTTCCTTAATATGTTTTGAATGATCCGGAGCCGAAGGTTAAGGATGTGTTTGATTGTATTTCACGTATTCCCACATTTATCTATTAAATCTTTCTTCAAGTTTGTAATTTGGCACCACCCAAGCAAACCTTGAGGACCTTCTCCTGTGGTATCCTCTTACCACACGGGTCTTCGTTTTTGAGGCCTTCATCTTCGGTATCTTCTCAGTGCGCCAGCCTTCGTCTCTGAGGCCTTCTCGGTTTAGAGGTCTTCGTCTCTGAGGCCTTGTCGGCGCGGAGGTCTTCGTCTCTGAGGCCTTGTCGGCGCCGGCCTGACGCCCTCATCTCTCGACAACTCATCTAGGGTTTAGGGGTTTAGGGTTTAGACATTCTCTTTTATTTTCCTGTATTACTTGGATATTTTTTCCTTTTCATTATTTTCTTCATGTTTTGTTCAACCTTTTATTAATTTATTTTCTATTTAAGTGATTTATTTTTATTTCTATATATTCACAGCATTTGTTTTTCATTTTTATTTCCATTTTTCTTCTTCTTTATTTTACACTAATTCATTATTTTATATTTTTCATTGTCGTGCTTTTTCTTTTCTATTCCCCGTTTTCCATAACATACTTGTGATATTCACTTAGTATACACGTGATGTTCTATGACGTATTTTGGAATGTTTGTGTAGTACACAGTTGTTCTGTAACATGTTTTGTTTTTTTCTTTTACTTATCTTTTGACTATTATTTTTTATTCCATTTTTTCTTTTATATTTGTGTTTTGTTTTCTCTTTTAAGTAGATTTTTATATTCTATATGAGATTTTTCGTAGTATATTTTGGTCTAGAACATTATTCGTGTGAGGATGGAATGTTTTTCTTTTGACTTAAAATTGTCTGATACAATTTAATAATATCAATTTTTATAACTTAGACAAAATATTTGCCTTACAAGTCTTGTGTTCAATACACCCTACCCATTATTTTTGCTATAGTATTGTTTCTTTTTATGCCTCGATACTTCAAATACAAACTTAAGCACAAACTCACAACTCACACCACACACGCGCGCACGCGCACGCATACCGTGCACAAGGTAGACCCTCTACTTATTTACTAATTCTCTATTTTTCCCATCCGGAACGCACGCGTCCTGAGCGAGCGGGTACGTGAGGACCGAGGGAGGCGGGCGCGAACGCGTCGCTTGTCCGGACGAGCTGGCCGCTGCCGCACGCGGCACGCTGGCGAACGCCTCCTCACGCGCGCACGACCGGGCCAGCCGCACGAGAGCGAGAACGGAAAAGTGAGTAGGGCGGCGGAATGCGCGAGCGAGCGGCTGGGCTGTGGACGGAATCGGAATCACGAGTGGCGGCGTGAGAAGCTTTCGTGCTCGGCATTCAGACGATCGATGATGCCGACCCGGTCGGCGCATAGCACGGTCCCACGTAGCCCGCGGCTCGTGCGTGGATGCTGGAGCCTGGAGGCAACGGCCGAGTCGGGTCGACTGCCAGAGCCCTTGCAATTTTGCGAAGGTTTCCTTCCTTTCTCCGCAACAGAAAGCGCCCCAACGAGAGAGAGTGCCAGCGACAGTCTCCAGCAGGCGCCGCGGCCAGACCCCGGATACCCTAACCCCACCAAACCGCTCAAAATCCAAAATCCAAGGGCTTGTTTGATGTGGAGCGCAGAGGTGGCTTGGCTCGTCGGCCAGGCCGAGGCCAGCCAAAGCCAGGCCGAGAGAGCAAAGCTGCTTGTGTTTGATTTGATGCACCAGTACAGCCCGGCCCTAGCAGGACTTTGTTTGATTCAGCTCTTGACCAACTAACTCCAACTACCAGTTGGCGATTGTGTTTGATTTGGGCCTGGCTCACAATGTCCTAGGAAGGAAAATGTGAATGCACAAGTGATTTGTAAATGAGCCAGCTCATAGCATTATGAAAACAAATTTCTAAATACCAGATACAACAATAAGAAGTACACAATAATGACAATCAGTTGGCCTCAGACTAATTGTAATGATTCATATAATCCTAGCTGCCTCAACAGAAAAAAGAAATAGGCAACAGAGCGGCTATCATTTGGAAACAAGGGTTCGGTAGCATAAATCATCGACATTGAGAACATACAACAACCAAATAGGTCAAGTACATGGTAACAAGGCAACCAACAGTGACAGAAATAGACTAGACAAATACAACAAACCAAAGGCAGCTAATACATCATGTTTTCGTAGTCATCACAGACTTAACAAAGGCAGTTCCAATGTCTAATGAAGCAAGGCAAAAAACCAACATCAGGAGCCTAACTGGTGTAGTCGTAGTTGCCAGTTTTGCCCCCTTCATCCATAGTCCAACCACCAAGATAATAAGTGAGGTGACTAACACCTTCTTCCACCAACCAGCCTTACCATTATCATTAGAAGGAGGAATGATTGGAGCAAAAGCATCATAAGGGACATGATCATAGGGGGGAAGTGCTGCTCCATGAGATGGATGGACATCTCTCATGGCTGCCTGAAAATCTCTAACAGCCTGGTCATAGTTGCTATACTTCTTGTATATAGCATTTCTCACCCCAAGAACATTCTTACTGCACTCTTGCCAACTCAGGTAAATCCCAGGAGCCTTCCCATTGAAAACAACATAGAACGCTCTTATTTCTATGAAATGAAATAGTGGTTTAGCCTCAGTCAAATGTAAAGCATGAAACTAGCCATGAGTGTGAAACTTGAAGATCTATGGTTTGCGGTGAAATAAATCGTTGATCTTAAGTCCCCCACTGGTGACCAACGTCATCATGTTCATATGTAAGAAAATTGACATCACAGGCATTGTAATAAAAGGTTGGCCTTAGCTTTAGAATGTGGTGGTGTTATTTTAGTTCCAATCATTGGTGGCTGCCATAGAAAAAAATAAACCAGTAGTGCAGCAAATCCAAGGTCATGTGATGAGGACATCGCCACGCTGGACACACCGACGTCATGGTCTTCCCCAAGTTGCAATTCGTTCCCAACTCAGCTGCCACGTCACCCTCGGATTCAGCAGACACGTCGTCACTGTTTCGGTCATAACTTCCTCATACGACGTCGAAACGGGCCGTTCTTGGATGCGTTGGAAAGGGGACGACGACGCCGTCGTTTTGGATCTGGTCCCAGCTCCAGAAGGTCCGTGGATCATTCTGTGTGACCACGGCAAGGTGCTGCGTCACCTATTTGGGCCAACTGGCCATGTATCGTGTCAGACGGCCTTAAGCCCAAGTTGTGGGCGCCCAACCCCGGCCGTCCCCAACCCTAGGTCGAGTCTTAGACTATAAACACAGCCGTCGCCGCTGCTACACAATTGGGTTTTGTTTAGAGTTTAGTTTTCCATCGAGAAACCAATCGTTCATTGTAACTGTGGTGACAAATC